AGTGAGTTGTTGACCTTCTTTTTTAGGCGTCAGAATTTTTAATCGAGCTATTCGGACTTCAATACCTAATATTGAAAGATTGATCGCGGGCCACATAAATTCATTAGACGGGCCGGATCTGGCCCGCGGGCCGTATGTTGGCCATGCCTGGTCTATTGCATCTAAAAATTGGTATGCCAAGAAACCAAACATAACCAGAATTTTCTTAGTTATTATAATGACATTAATTTACAGTCTTATTATAATTTATTAGTAATTTAATTAATCCATAAAGGTATAATGAATTGAAATGAATAAGAAAAGAAAATGTTTTAAGAGAAAGATTCATTCTGCTCATCTCAATATTCATAGTACTGACATAGTATATATTAATAATATGATTGTACTATAAAAAATACTAAAACAAAATATGACGCTGTAATGTGCTTACAGAGTACAAAAATCTCAGCCTGATGTTTCATAATAAGCCAAGTGATTGCAGTATTGAATTGGTCTACTTTACTGCTACTATTAATAATTAAATTCTGAGTAATTTGGTACTAGAGATAGGTGCTAAGTGCAATCTCTCATTAAATTTAATAATTATATTTAAATTAATATTTATTAAATAATTTAGAATATTCTGGAAGAAAAGAGTCTGCCCAAAGCAGGACTCAAACCTGCAGCTGTTAATTACTGTCCAGATGCATTACTCCTCCATCCAATCCTCTGCTTTCAGACATTTTTAATTTTAGATATAACCAGACTATTCTAAAATATTTAATAAATATTAATTTAATTATAATAATTAAATTTAATGAAAGATGACACCTAACACCTACCTCTAGTACCAAATTATTCAGAATTTAATAATTAATAGTAATGGTAAAGTACCCCAATTCAATACGGCAATTGTTCTTAGAGTCATAATATTGATAACACTATATACAATTTTCCATTGATATGCATAGAATTTCAACAAAGTTAACACCAACAATGGTAAAATAGATTATCTTCGTAAAAGTATTATCTTTCCTTTCTTAACATCTTTAATTGTATAACTGTGGTATACAGTCGACCCCCCTATAACACAGGTTCCTATAGTTCGGATTCCTATATCATGGCGAAAAAATTGCAACAGTATTCATACAAACACACAAAAAACTCCCATAATTCGGTAAAACGCCATCACCGACTCGTGTCCCGACAGGATTGGTCAAATCTAGACCAATAGCAGATATTGCACAAACCGCTGAGTTTAAACGAGCAGTGGACCTACCAAAAACCATTTATTATTTAACGTCCATAAAAATTATATTTATATTAATGATGTCTCAAAAGTTCAGCGAATTTTACACAAAAAAAATTAATTTATCAGAAAGCATGCAAGCGCCATTCGATGCTCCACTCCACGACGAAAACAAGCTTAAGCAGTGGCGTAGTCGAACGGTGCACACTCGGTAAGTAATCCTACAATTTTTTGTTTATAGCATAGTTTATATGGATTATTCCCAAAAAATTATACGTGTTTTGAAAATGTTGAGTCAAATTAGTCTAGAAGCGATTAATTTTATGGAAGAAACCTTTCAAACAGTCATAGTCCGTAAACTGCATACATGCCAGGCTGTCATTGGCTGGACTCATAGATAATGGATTCATAAAAACCAGAATATATCTACCGTGTTATAGGGGGGTCAACTGTAATTTAATACTTTGAAAAAAGGGGTAAAATATCTTTAAAAATAGTCAATTAGATAATTAAATGATGTTTTTTATAATTCTGTAAAAAGCATCTATTCCGTAAGTCGAAGTATTCAAAATAATTATCCATATTCATTTTTGTTATTTATTATAAACAAGTAATCCTTTCTGTGACACCCAAAATTTAAATCTTTTAAGCATATATATAATAATTTTTAATATAATAATGTTTCAGCTGTCAACATCTGACTAATATGGAATCCAAAATAAATTAAATTTAATTAATTTCTTTTTTAAATAGTCTCTATCTTAATATTGTTTGAATATAATAAAATTTATCTTTTTCAAACCAATAAAAGACTATTTAATTATTTTTTAATTTTCAATTTCCAATAATTAAAACTAAGTTTAATTCAAATAATTTATTCTCATTACTTTTAATACAAAATAGATATTATATAAAATGTACCCACTACTTATTAATTCTTAAAAATAATTTTATAATAAAATAAAATAATCAAAATAAAGAATTTGTATAAAAACACTGAAGATTTTAAAATATCTTAAATAAAGCATACATGCTACCTTTTAAAAATATATTTCTATAAAAATAGTATTATCATCACAAAGTAAAAACTATCAAAAAACTTACTTACAAATTATGCTAGAATAACCACTTAAATATTTAATTCCAAATTAAAAATTACTAAAAATACTTATCTACTAATAAAAGATATTTGATACATACATACATATATGCACATACACACACTGTATATATGTTACTGTGAAAGACCGAAATTAGAGAATGTCGATATTCTCTGGTGAATGTCGACATATACAAAATACGTTGGAGAAAGACCGAATATTTGGTTATCTTATTATACATTTGAACAATAGCTGGTGTATGTCGACAAACACAGATAAGCTTTGGTGGAGGTCAAAATGACACCCGAGAAGCTGATGTCGACAGAGAGGAGACAGCCTGCCACCAAATTCTTTGCAGTTTCTTTCTGCTCAAATTGGTGATACCATACGAATACAAGTCCTGATTTCGACCATGGCCTTACAGATGCCCGAAATGTTGTTGAAATAAAAGACTCAAACTTTTATAAATTAGCAAACAAAAATGATACCCTCAAGCAGCTTTATATCCGTAATCAGTTCGTAAGTTGTAAAGAAAAGTTACTTTCCATAGATGAGATTTCTTCTCAAGAAATAATCGCTGAGAGAAGCAGCTGCAGCTAATTTAAAAAGTGGAGGGTAAGGCTATACACGCTGTCATTGCAAAAAGAAGTGTTCCACAAATAAATGCAGTTGTAAAACAAGGGACTCTTATGCAATTCAAAGTGCCATAACAGTTTAAGTTGTTGCAATAAATAAGATTGTATAACGTTGATCACATAATTTGTGTGTAAGTTTATTATTGTATTATTTTCTTTAACGATTTAGAATGTACTGTTCGTTTTAGGTTCAACAGTTTATTTACATGTGCTGTTACTTAAGCTTTCTCCTATTTTGACATATTAAAAAGTTGCATTTTTGTCTTAACGTAATGAAAATATTTTTATTCAATATTCACCATCAGTGCATGCCTAATGTTGACATTTGCCAGTGTAAGTGAGAAATAATGATATTTAACAAATGTTTTGTACATACACGAAACTACTATGTGAATGCTGACATTCACTGGAGAATGTTGACATTCACCAGATATTGGTCATTCACAGTAACATATATATTATATAATTTAATTACTGGGAAATCATAATGTTATTTATTTATTACTAATTTAATTCACTCAATTTTTATGTAACTTAAATTTTTTAAAGATTCCATAGCAGAAATAATTCTCTAATTCAAAAATTTTTTTAAACTTCCATTATATTTATTTTTTGCATGTTTCTTTCTATATACTTCATATCTTAAATGCAGTATATAGAAAGAAACATGGAAAAAAACAAATGCATATGTATATATACCATATAAACCTTCCATGTCTTCACTTATGTATTTTATATCCAACTTATTAATGTATATACCATAAAAATCGGTAACTTATTCTATTTTTGCAAATGTTTGATATAACTGACAAGTAACACACTCTCATATATAAATATATATATATA